TTCTTCTCTGACCCAGTTATTCTTTAGTAGCATGTTGTTTAATCTCCATGTATTTGTGGTTCTTCCTGATTTCTTTTTGCAGTTGATCTCTAGTTTCAAAGCATTATGATCAGAGAGTATGGTTGTTATGGTTTCAACCCTCTTATATTTGTTGAGGCTATTTCTGTATCCCAATATATGGTTGATTCTTGATAATGTTCCATGTGCCCTAGAGAAGAATGCATAACCAGCTGTTTGGGGATGGAAAGCTCTAAATATGTCATTTATGTCCAGTTGGTCTAATGTGTCATTTAAAGATGTTATTTCCTTTATTGACTTTCTGTTTGGATGATCTGTCCATATCCAACAGGGAGGTATTTAGGTCCCCTACTACAATAGTGTTTTGGTCTGTTTCTCCCTTTAGGTCTGTTAGTAATTGCTTTATATTTATTTGGGGCTCCCTTATTGGGAGCATAGATGTTAGTGTTATATCTTCTTGGTGCATGATTCCCTTTATCATTATGAAGTATCCCTCAGTATCTTGCTTTACCATTTTATTTTGAAGTCTATTTCATCCAATATTAGTACCACTCCTCCCGCTTTTCTCTGAATGCTATTTGCTTGAAATGTCATTTTCCACCCTTTCACTTTGAGTCTATATTTGTCTTTGGAACTGAGATGTATCTCCTGGAGGCAGCATATGGTTGGGCTTTGTTTTTCGATCCATTCTGCAACTCTGTGCCTTTTTATTGGTGAGTTCAGTCCATTTACATTTAGGGTGATTATTGAAATATGAGGTCTTCTTATAGCCATTTTATCTTTTGCTTTCTGTTAGCTCGGTGTTTCCATTGGTTCCTTGTCCTTGTGTTTCTGTTTTTGTTTGTTTTTTTTTTTAATTTTGGTTGGCTTTTGTGAGTTTTCCCTTTGGTCCTTTTTGTTTTATGTTATATTCTTCAGTTCTAAACCTTTGGCAAGTGGTTACCATTATGTGTATGTAAAGGATAGTTACGTATATATTCATCCATTTTCTTCTACGTGTGCCTTATCACTGTTCCCTTTTGTGTATTTAGATTTTTTGATCCTCCCCCTTTTCAGTCATTGTTGTCTCAATTTATCCTTATGTATGCTGAATGTTCATTACTATCTTGCTATAGCAGCTCTCTTATTGTTTAAGCTTATAATGCCCCATTCTCAGTAAGGATTGCACTCCTCTGCTTCTATTAGCCTGCTAGTCACCTTACTCCTAATTATGTATTTTTTTTTGGTCATTTTGTTATAGATAAGCTGACCCCTTTCAGTATTTCCTGTAATGCAGGCCTCATAGTGGAGAATTCCCTCAATTTTTGTATGTCTGGAAAGGTCTTTATTTCTCCTTCATATCTAAAGAAGAGCTTAGTTGGATACATTATTCTTGGCTGGTAGTTCCTTTCATTTAATAGTTTGAATATTTGATTCCACTCCTTTCTGGATTGTAAGGTTTGTGCCGAGTAGTTCAACGATAATCTAATGGATTTTCCTTTATAGGTTACCGTCTTCTTTTCCCTGGCTGCCCTGAGAATTCTTTGTTGTTGATTTTTGATAATTTTAATACAATGTGTCTTCGTGAAGGGCTTTTTGGGTTGAGATAATTGGGTGTTCTGTTGTCTTCTTGAATTCCAAGCTCCAGCTCATTCTTTAGATTTGGGAAATTCTCGTTAACTTTTTGTCTGAAATGCTTTCTAGATTTCTGTCTTCAATATCTCTGATCCTTTCCTTCATTTGGTCGACTTTATTTCCCAACTTGCTATTTCATTTTTCAGCTCTTACAGTGTTTTTTTTTTGT